TTTGTGTGGGTTGTAGACTCCATCTCATGCTACCACTAGAGTGAAAGCACCGCCAGCATTCAAAAGTGACCAAACCACCAGCCAGAAAGCATAGGAACTGAGAAGTGGTCTGTGGTCACCACCTGCAGAACCACTCCTTTATTGGGGATGTCTTGCTAACTGCCTATGCTTTCCACCTGTTGTCTATTCCATTTGCACAACAGCATGTGAAATTGATTGTCAATCAGTGCTGCTACCTAAGTGGACAGTTTGATTTCACAGAAGTGTGATTGACTTGGGTTTACATTGTGTTGTTTAAGTGTTCCCTTTATTTTTTTGAGCAGTGGTATATCTTTATATACAACATTTTTTTCCATATTTATCAAATTTGGGTGTATTAATGCTTCTAATGTAAAGAGCCAGATAGGGGTTTCCATATAGTTTTGGTAGTTAATTTTATTCCGTACCGTTAATAGTGCCTGTCTTATATAGTGTCTCTGAAAGTATTTATGTGCTGTATCTTTTCCGTATCAAAGAAAGGCATGCCATCCCTAGCAGTCTTTTGTTCCTTAATGTAATCCATTCTTTTAGCCAGGTAAGTGTTGCAGCATGATAATATAACTACCAATCAGGAAAGCCAAATCCTCCTTTCTCTTTGGTATCCTGCATTAATTTCAGTTTGATTCTCGGCCTCTTTCCCTGCCATATGAATTTTGACATTAATTTTTTAAATAAGCTTTTCTCTAATTTTATAGGGATATTTTGGAATAAAAAGAGGATCTTTGGTAGGGTGTTGATTTTAAGTATGGCTATCCTACCCATTAGGGAAATTTTCAGGTTATTTCATCTTTCTAAATCCTTCTTTATTTGATTTATTAGTTTAGTATAGTTATCTTCTCGCAGGGTTATACACCTTGCTGTTAAGTATATACCTAAGTATTTCACTTTTTTCACAATTTGGATACTTATTTCTTTTGTCAATTCTTCCTTTTGTTTATTTGTCATTTGACTAACATTTTAGTTTTTTCCTTGTTTATTTTTAATCCCACTACTTCTCCATATTCTGCCAATTCCTCCATAAGCTTCACGCCAGACTTTAGAGGCTCCTCTAAAATAAATACTAGATCATCCACAAAGGCTTGTAGTTTATACCTTTTTTGTCTGATTTCCAGCCCTTTAATTTGTTCCTCTTTTCAAATGTTTCTCGTCAACACTTCTAACATTAAGATAAACAGCAGCGGGGATTAGTGGACAACCTTGTCTTGTACCTTTTTGTTTTGTGAAACTTTGTTGCATCACTGTTAATTATTACTTTGGCCTCTTGTTTTGGATATATTGCTCTAAACATATTTATCAATTTGTCTCCAAAGTTCATATATCTCAGTTTCTGTAGCATGAATTTCCAGTTTACGTTATCATCAAAAGCCTTTTGGGTGTCTAGGAAGAGCAGTGACATTTGTTTTTTGTTGTGTGCTTCATAGTACTCTAATATATCTAGTAGCGTTCTCATGTTCTTTATCTGCCTTTTGGGTACAAAGCCATTTTGGTCAGCATGTATAAACGTATTGAGGAATCTTTTCGGATGTTTTGCCATTATGTATGCAAATATTTTGTAGTCTGTATTCAGTAATGAAATTGGCCTATAATTTTGAATTAGTGTTTGGTCTGCATCCTCCTTTGGAATCAGCACTATATTGGCCTCCATCCATGGTGATGGTATCCTCACTTCTGTAAGGACAGCATTATATACCTCTAGTAGCATTGGATCTAGACTATCCTGAAGTTCTTTATACAATTCTGATAACAATCCCTCAGGACCCTGTACTTTGTTGTTCTTTTGTTTTTTGATGGCCTCAGTTACTTCTGGCATTCTTATTTCTTCATTGAGCATATATTTTATTTCTTCTGGTACCTTTGGTAGTTCAGCCTTTTCTAGATATTGTCATGTTTTTTTATTCTGTATAGCTTTTGTTTTCTTTGTATAGATTCTCATAAAAAACCTGAATTAACTTTTTTTTCCTTCATTTTGGTAGCATACATTTCCTTCTTCATCTTGCAGTTTCTTAATCCATTTCTTTTCTTTCTGTTCCTTCAATTTATACACTAGACACCTTCCTGGTTTATTCGCATTCTTGAAAAAGTTTTGGTTTGCTTTCTTTATGTACTGTGCCAGTTCTTTTTTGAGGATGGCCAACTTGTGTTTGATTAATTCCAATATACAACTTTTTATTAAGCTTAAAAATGGAAGTTGAACAGGTAAAATAAACAATGGTAGTATTGGCAAAAAAAATTGGATACACTATAGAATTAGATAAATAGCAAATACTTTGGGAAAGAAACTATAGGTTGACAATGAAACTTCTTATAAGGAAAATCTGTATAAAATGTTCACTTCCCACTTGAGAGATTACCAAAGATTTTTAAAAACATGTCCACCAAGTGTTGGAAGTGTAATCAGGTACCAGGCATGTATTACTACATGTGCTGAACTTGTGCAAAAGCAAAAAAAATGGACAAAATACATACATGGTTAGAAAAAAATGTTAAAGCAGTCTATAAATTATAAGCCAGAAATATTTTTGTTAGATATAGTACCAGATAAGTATGATAAAGGGAATATATATTTAATATTACGTGTTTTGACAGCAGCAGGAATTGTCTATGCACAGCACTAGAAAAATAAAGAAACTTACAGGAGAAGATGTAATTTAAAAAAATACGAGTTTATGCAGACAGATTGACATTAAAGCAAAAAGAAAAAGAAGATACGGAATATTTTCAAACATAGGACTTGTTTTACCAATGGTTGGATAATAAGGTAGAAATTAGGAACTGAAAAAGTATTATTATACAAACAAAATGATCCAGACAATGTGCTGTTCACAAAGTACTTATGTATGTAAAGAGCAAATGTATAAACTATTAAAAAAAGTATTGTTACTTGTAATTTGATCAAAAGAATACAGCTTCATCTGACTGGATAATCATCCAGGAGGTATGGTGTAGAGCAGTGGTTCCCAAACTTTTTAAGTCTATCGCCCCCTTGGTGCTACAAACTCATCCTCGGTGACTCCCACCCATGGGTGGGATTCAAATTTCTGTGGGCGTGACCTAATTTGAGGGTGTGGCTTGCTGGTCATGTGACTGGGTGAGCGTGGCCAGGTGACTGGCAAATCAAATACAAGTTGTTCTCACTTAATGGCCGGTTGTTTAGCAAGTGTTCTAATTTATGACTGGCTTCCCCAGAGCTACTTGACCTGTTTTTGGAGTTTTGATCAGGGGTCTAAATCCCACCCCTGCCTGTGTGTGAGAGAGAGAGGGGGAGAGAGAGATTGGATCAGATCTCTCTCTCTCTCCCACCAACACCAGAAAGCCACTGTCAGTCAAAATTCATATTAGTGGTCTCCAGGATTTAAAATTATGAGTTTTGTGGTCCCTGAGGTCCAAAAGTTTGGTGACCCTTGATCTAAAGGGGTGAGCCTGAGAGAGGGAAAGAGAGAGAGAAAAGAAAGAGAGAGAGAAAGAGAAAAGGGAAAGAAAGGAAAAGGGACAGACACAGAAGGGGGATGGAAGGAAGGGACAGAAAGAAAAAGAAATGAGGGAGGGAGGAGAAAGATAATGAGATATCTACTCTAGTCAAATCACCTGCTCCAGCAGTGTTAGAAGGGAGTGTGTGTGTGTGTTTGTGTGTTCTTCTTGTAATTTACCAGTACATTTTGGTTTTGCTTTCTTCAGAATTGGCACTGTAATACATTGGGGAAAAGTAATTTTTAGGGTGGAGGTCTGGTCCAATGGATCCTGTTTAAAGCCTCAACAAAATGTGAGTTTCCTGATAGTCTTGACCATGTTTCATCCACAAAACCTTTAAAAGAAGCCAAAGAGGTTTCAATGTGCTGGCAAAGATGTTTCAATGTGGAAAAGGGCCTCAGTTTAAACTAGCCCTCATTCAATCTGATGCATCAGGTCTCTCTCTCTCTTTCTCTCTCTCTCCCTCCCTCCCTCTTTCCCTCCCTCCCAGACTGGCTTTGCTCTACTTTCCTGATGTGCCTGCAGGGCAGGTGCTTCGAACCTGGATGAATGGATGGAGAGAGAGAGAGAGAGAGAGAGAGAGAGAGAGAGAGGCAGGCAGGCAGGCAGGCAGGCAGGCAGACAGACAGACAGATAGATAGATAGATATATTGGTAGATAGATAGGTATGTAGGTATGTAGGTAGACAGAAAGACAGACAGGTAGGAAGGCAGGCAGGCAAACAGACAGACCTTTTGGATGGATGGACGGATGGATGGACGGACAGACAGACAGACAAAATGCAACAGCGGCAGCACTTTGGGAAAGTGGTGGCGGTGGCTTTTCCTAACGTGCTGCCGCATTGGAGGCGCTGGCTCCGGAACGGTGCTACAGTCAATGGGTGAACCTGCAGGGCTGGCTGGTGCCTTGAACGCCCCCCTGCCTCCTCTTAGCGGCCCTGTGCCGGCCCCCTTGGGGATGCTAAGAGGTGGCAGGGGGCGGCGCGTTGAACGTGGCCGCAGTGGTACATAACGTGCCACCGCTTCCACATTGGAGGCACCGGCTCCGGAGCAATACTACAGTCAATGGGTGAACCTGCAGGGCCAGCGCCTCGAACGTCCCCCTGCCACTTCTTAGCATTCCCAAGGGGGCCAGCAGAGGGGCGCTAAGAGGCGGCAGGAGGCGGCATGTCAAATGCGGCCATGGCGGCACATAACGTGCCACTGCTTCCACATTGGAGGCTCCGGCTCTGGAGCGGTGCTACAGTCAATGAGTGAACCTGCAGGGCCGGTGCCTCGAACGCCCCCCTGCTGCCTCTTAGTGCCCCCCTACCAGCCCCTTTGCCTCTTAACGCCCCCCTAAAGCATCCCACCGCCCCCCAGGGGGCAGTACCGCCCACTTTGGTAACCACTAGTGTATAGAATCCTGCAATGTACCTGTGGACAGACTTGATGATCTCCCACATACCTCCTAACTTGATAATTCTATGACTATTTTTATGCTTTCTTTGCTAGGTGGATATGAATCTAAATGAAGAAAAGCAGCAGCCTCTAAGGGAGAAAGACATTAGCATCAAGAGAGAAATGGTGTCTCAGTACCTGCATACTTCCAAAGCTGTGAGTTCTTGAGTTGTGGAGTGGTCAAATGTATAAAATACTTCTAGGGCTTACTTGATTTATGTTGCAGGATAAGTGTCAGCTATCTGAAAATTACATGTAAGAGGTAACTGTCAAGATTAGCTGGAAATCGGGCATCTATCCTTGTCTATACTCTCCGATACTGTTCTCTGATTGTAGAGCACAGTATTTAATATGATCGCTTATTGACTGGCTTCTCTAAATAAAGGAAGAGCTGAAGATTTTTTAATGGCTTCAGACTATAACATGGAACAAACTCAAGCCATTAGTTGAGCTTAATCCTTGTTCAGTATAGTTACTTTAGTCACTTTACAGTTTGAACATTATTTAACTGCTGTGACTCTAAAAGTAAATGGAAGGTTGCAGTATCTTATAGCTGTTTAAGAAGCAGGGAATCAGAATATGGCACTTCATTAAAAAAAAACTTGACTGTTAAATTGTGTCATAATAAATAAGGTTCAGCCTGGGCAGTATTTGGCTGGTATTGAACTAAAAGTCCTAACATCCCTCACCATAATGATTGCCCAAAAATTATTGTTGAAGCCACAAGTTTTCCATTGTCTGTTTTCATCTCTGGGATTATCCCCACCGATAGTCCCAGATGCCACCAATAACTAGTACATCCAGTACTGTTGCCAGTTTTTATTGGACTATATGACCATGTATAAGAGAAATGCATTCCTTCATAGGTGGTTGAGGGATCTCTTCTATATTTTTTCCTGAGTTCTTTGATCAGTAGAACTCCTGATAAGATTTCTTACAACTCAGGACAATTTCTCTCTTTAATATCGTAATATATAATTTTGTAGGTTTTTTTCCAACCCATGGTCTAGAAATGTTGGTTGAGGTTATGGAATCAAGGTATCAAAATTAATTCCATTCTAGAGACTTTTGATTCTGGATTGGTTAGTTTCTAAGCCATTGGGATCCATGCCTCTTACTACTTCATAGTTCTTTTCTATGCTAGCTGCTTTTTTATGGAAGCCCTATTAATAAATCTTTGGGCAATCTTGAAGAGTCATTAAGGAATATTAATTTTAGTGTTTTTTAAAATCATTCTATTGGTGAAATATACTGTAACTAACCCAAATAAACAATACCGCACTGATATGGTATTAAAGCATGCATTAAACTGATTAAAGATAATCTTATTAAAGATAATCAAGCAGCACATTTGTGAGCAGGAAGAAAAAAGCAAGATTACTAGAAGCCTGCATGGATTTGTTAAAAACAGCATACCAAACAAACCTTATTGCCTTCTTTGACTAGGTGATTAAATTAGTGGATAAGGGGAATGCTATGGATGTAGTTTACTTAGACTTCAGTAAGGCATTTGACAAAGTAGTCTACAGCCTACTTGATAAGGTAGAACAATGTGGAATAGACAGTACCACCAACAAATGGATTCCAGTGAAACTACATCTACATGGAGGAAAGCATGCAGTGGATACCTCAAGGTTCTGTCTTGGGGGCAATAATCTTCAACATCTTCATAAATGATCTAGATGAGAGGATAGAAGGGAAACTCATCAACTTTGCATATGACAATAAGCTGAGGGGAACAGCTAACACTTTAGGAGATGAGATTCAAAATTCAGAGGGATCTTGACAGACTTTAACACTGGGCCTTATCTAATGAAACGCACTTTAGTGATGAGAAAAGTAAGGTCCAACACACAGACAAGAAAAACCAAATGTACAGTTAGTAGTAACATAGTAACTGAGAGGGATCTAGGTCAGGGATGGGCTTCAAAAAATTTAGCAACCTGTTCTCTGCCCTGTTGCTGGGTAGGTGTGGCCATGGTGGGCGTGGCCTAATTGGCCTCCAGTACCATGGCAGGGAGGAGTATTTTTGCCTTCCCTGGGCTCCAGAGGCTTTCCTCGAGCCTCCAGGAGGGAGAAAATGGCCTCCCCGGGCTCTGGAGATCCATTTTCGGCCTTCCTGAACTTCTGGGAGGCCTGTTTTTTGCCCTCCCCAGGTTCTGGAGACTTTTCTCAAGCCTCTGGGAGGGCAAAAACTGCCTCCCCTGGCTCCAGAGGCTCTCCAGAGGTTGGAAACAGGCCCTTTTCCAGCCTTTTGGAGCCTCCGGAAGGCCCATTTTCCTCCTTCCCAGGCTCTGGTGGCTTTCTTGACCCTCTGGGAGGCCCATTTCCCCTCCAGGCTCCGGAGGCTCTTCCAGAGCCTTCAGGAGGCCCATTTTTTCTCTCCCTGAGCCTTCATGTGGGCCCCGCACTTACCTGGGATCCAAAACGTGGAGACTCCTGGGAGGGGTGGGGTGGGCGAGGCCAGCCAGTCATTGCAACTACCAGTTTGCCGAACCAGATGTAAAATTAACATTCAGTTCACCAAAACCAGTGTGAACTGGTAGCAGCCCACCCCTGATTTAGGTGTCCTGGTACAGGGGTCACCAACCTTTTGGACCTCAGGGACCACCAAACTCATAATTTTAAATCCCGTGGACCAGAGACCCTGAGAAAATCCCCCCAAAAGTCTGCAGGGAAATTTCCCACCCTGTTTTCCTACTGATTGATCATTCTTTATTTGGGATCGCAGGATACCATCTCCAGTTTTTTTGGGGGGTGGGGAAGAGAGAGAGAGAGAGAAATATTTTTGGCTTCATGCAAGGAAAGCAGCAGAAGCAGCAGAAGTCTTTCTTTCTCTCCCCCCCAAACTCTGCCAGAAATGAGTCTTTGTGAGACTTGTTGTGCCGGTGCAGCCTCTTGGAGCAGGATGTCTTGCAGGGTCTTAAAGACTCATTTCTGGCGGAGTTTGGGGGAGAGAAAGAAAGACTTTTGCTGCTTTCCTTGTGTGCAGCCAAAAGTAGAAGAAGAAAGAAGCGGAAAGAAGCAGCCCGGTGGCCAGGCAAGGCGCGTGGGGCAAGTGGGGCAAGTTCCCCCCCTCTGCCCTTTCCCCCCTCCCCTCATTACCTCATGTTGTTCGCAATGAAAGCAATGCAAGCCTTGTGTTCCCATGGGCCATCTGGGCGGTGCAGCCTTGTGTTCCCATGCAGCTTGGATTAATTGCTTTGGGGGGGTGCTTTGGTGGGGGACCTTTCTCTGCGAACCACCAAAATTTTCTCTCAGACCACCAGTAGTTCCCGGCCCACTGGTTGGCAACCACTGTCTTAGTAGACCACCACTTAAGAATGAGCTAGCAGTGTGCTGCAGCTGCAAAAAAGCCAACATAGTTTTACGATGCATCAACAGAGGGATAGCATCAAGATCAAGTAAAGTAGTAGTACCACCTCATACTGCATTGTTAGGGCCAAACTTGGAATATTATGTCCAGTACTGGTCATCATGATACAAAAAAGATGTTAAGATCCTAGAAAGAATGCCGAGAAGAGCAATAAAGATTACAGGTAATCCCTGGGTTATGAGTGTTCCCTTAGCAAATGTTTGAAGTTACGCAATAAGCATATTAAACAGTAATAACTGATCCCACATCCCTGAAATTAATTCCAGACTGGTATTTTTACAAGAAATCGGAGTACAAATTTCTATTGTGAACTGTAATTATAAAGTAAACATGCAATGTATTGCCAACTATATTCTAATATACAGTATTTTTGAAATGAAGTATAGTGGAATAAATAATAAAACTTTAGGATGGAGAAAATAGTACAAAGTCAGTATTCAAATATTGAATAATAAGTAGCCTTAAATTATAGCACATAGAAAAGGAATATAATTCTGGAATGTAATTGGATATAGCTTAAGAATATCCAATTGAACCATTTTTAAAAGCTGAAAACTTTGTTGTATTCATCTGTTGAGTGTTAGAGAAAAAATCAATTCAAGAGTTTATTCTGTGCTATTGAGACATATTTAATTTAGAAAGAATGGATATACATTTATCATTATTTTTTCGTTTGTAGGGCATGAGTCAAAAGGAGAGCTCGAAATCTCCTATTATGTATATTCAGGAACTAAAATCTGGTGTTAAAGATGCACAGCTCCTTGGATGTTTGGAGTCTCTACGTGTGTCACTCAATAACAATCCTGTCAGGTAATGGTTTAGATAGAACTTTGTTAATTGCTAAATACTGCAATATTTAAAATTCGTGGGCATCATGCATGTCTGGAGACAGATGTACAGCTAGTCCTTGATTTACAACTGTTCATTTAATGGCTGAAGTTATGATGGCATCAGAAAAAGTGACTTATGACCTGTACTCACACTTACGATGGTTGCACCTCTCCCACAGTCACATGATCACATCTTATCCAGCTACTGGGTGCAGCACTCTGTGGTTATGTGATTGTGATTTGCGATCCTTTTTGCCAATTTCTGGCATAAAAACACCCATTGGAGAAGCTGGATTCACTTAACTGCATGATTTAATTAATGATTATGGTGATTTGATTAATGACCACCATAAAAATGTTAATCAGGTCCAAATCGACCTATGACCACAGCAGTTTACAATGGAAATTCCAGTCCCAATTGTGGTTGTAAGTCGAAGACTACCTTTATGCAATTGCCAGTGTAATGAGAAAATGAAGTGGTAATTATTTTATTTAGGTAACAATGTGTTTTATTCTGCAACAATTGCAGCTGGGTGCAAAATTTTGGAGCTGAAGGTCTGAATTGCTTGCTGGACATATTGAAAGGACTTCATGATGAAAAGGACGAGTTTTCTGGGTAAGGAGCACTTGAGTTAAAATAGTTTAACTTGAGGTAAAATGACGATAAAATTTATCCATATACATTTGTATATTATAGATTTGTATACAGTGGAACCTTGGGTCGGTCACGAACGCTCCTGTTCATGACCAAATCTAATGGCAAACAAAAAATCCACCCAATTTTTGAATTGGGTCACGATTCAAAAATCGGGTGGTGAACAAAATCACCACCTTTCTGTGCCGATTTCCCCTTTGCTGCCATTTTTTTTGACTGTGCACATGTGCAGTCGGTTGTGCTTCCAGACATGACCAAATTGGGTCACAACTGGAATCCGGGAATGGATTACAGTCGTGACCCGAGGCTCCACTATATATGATGTATATATAATAAACTTAGTATAATATAGATAGAATATGCTTAATTCACAATCCCCCTAGATGGAATGCTTGCACACATGCAGCTAGATAAATTTGTGTATATATACACACATATTGTGCCTCATTTGTGTATACATGTGTGTATATATTATATGGATTGCAATTACCATTCTGATCCAGTGATGGTTGGTAGATAGATTTTTTTTTGTAAGGATTGCTTCTTCTCCTATCTTAAGAAAGTGAAGACTCTTGAAACAAAGTATTTCAAAAGGAACCTTTTATTAAGCAGAAGTGAAAGCAAGTCATTCAAAGCAATGTCTGAATACCCTTAGGCAAGACAAGTAGAATTAAAGTAGTAGAGACCCCTCCCTTTAGCCAGTCAATCCACACGTGTGAAGATGTTATTGTATTGGCTGCTCTGAGAAACAGATAAGCATACATTCCCATGGCCATCTTCCGCTGGGTATTAAAGTGAAACAACCCACATGGTCCTCCCTCCTGTACATTCCCCAAGAGGTGAGAAAATCTCAGGGCACTTTGGTGCCAGGATACAAGTTATAAAATACCAGTTGTCACAGGCAATACTAATGAATCAAATCCAAGCCCCCCCTTCTCCCATTTGAATGGCAGTATCGCTTTTAGGGATCTGACATTTTTTGACTTCTTAGTGTAGGGCTGAGAGGATGTTATTGGCGCAGAATCACCAAGTGAGTTTCTGTTCTTAAAGGAGGTCTAGAACCTGAGTCTCCATAACTAGTCCAGGATTGGTTTTCATACACTGGCTTTCTTAAGTAGGTAGGTAGATAGGTTGGAAGATTGAATGAATATAGCTTTTATTTGCATGCTGGAAACATGTTTTAATTGTGTGTTCTATTTGGGTATACAAAGATTAAAGGAAAACTAAGGACAGTTGGATAGGATAAGGATAAATTGGATATATGGATCCATAAGATTGGATATTTTATTCATTTTTATTTTATTTTATTTGGTTTGTCAATTGCTTACAATTATCATAGGTATGAGTAAAAACATAGTTATGAATACACGGATACATATAAGAAAAATAAAAGAAACAATAGGACAGGGGTGGTAGGCACGTTGGTGCGTTTATGCACGACCCCTATAATAATGGAATATAATATATTCCATATATAATATATATAATAGAATATAGAATATAATATATATAATATATAATATAATGGAATTTGTCTTGTGGATAGTATTCTTATCCTGTCATATTTTCCCCTGACTCCTCTACTGAATTTTGATATAGTTGGGAGCATTCTGCTATAATTTTTTATGGTGTTGCATGTCTTTTTAATGTTCTGGGATGGAAATCTAACATGTATAAATAGATAATTCTGTGTGTAGGATTAATATTTCAGTTTTGTTTCCTGTTTATTCTAGGTCATATGACTTCAGGATTGAACATGAAATTGTTAGATGCTTAAAAGCTTTTATGAACAACAAAGTAAGTCCCCTATTTTCTCCATTTAGAAACTTGTGGATATAATTTCTTATACTTAATATATAATGTTAAATTATTAGAAAGCAAAAAGTACAAATGGGCAGGAATTTAAGTCTGTTCTTTTTCAGAAGTATTAGTCCTGCCTTAGACAGAAAAGCTAACTGGAACCTTGGGCCAGTCACTTTCTCTCAGCCCTAAAAAGGAAGCAGTGTCTAACCACTTCTGAAAATTCTTGATTCACAAGGACTTTATTCTAGCTGAACAACTGTGGATATTAAGATCTTGAAGAATGGCATTGTGAAAAGAAGTTTACTCATGCAAAAGTCTGTCTACAATTTTGCACATTATAGAGAAAAAGCTGCCAATACATGAAACTCTTTACCTCAGAAAGCATGCTCTGATTTGTATTTTCAGGCTGTGAATACTTAAAACCAGGGTTAACAGCCACCTGAAATATAAATATTTAAAACATTGAAACAGAAAATATAATTCAAGTAGAAACAAAAAATCCTGAAAGGTAATCTGAATGAAAATGCTACAACATTCTCTTTTTCACATAATTTCATACTTTAAACTCCATTATCGTACCACTATTTGCACAATTGATTTTATTCTTTCTGTTCCTCTCAAATATATCTACTTTACAGTTCACTCAGCATTCGTTCCTATTTTGGTTTTTTTTATGCCTAAATTGTTCCTTTTCTCAGTTCTCAATAGTATTTTTTCGATGTTCACATAATCATTAATAATCTCCTCACAAATAACTCTCACAGAAAAACTGATTAGACTCTTCTCATTTTTTGAGTGTTTTCCTGCCAACATTCTGTTTAGGAATGCTTTATCTGCAGTGGAATTGTTTGAATAAACTAGGACAAAAGATCAAGGAGGTCAAGGATTTTTGCCTATATGTAGCCACAATCAATTTTGTTGACTTGTAAATGTCTTTAACATATTTAGATAGTGTTAAAGTCTGAAGTCATTATCTCACCCATTCTTGTTTTATTATGGTTCTTGCTTGTAAATTTAGAGCATCATTTTCTATGATGATACCCAGTGTGTAATATTTTGTTCCTGATTTCTTTTGCTTTGAGAAACTTATTTTATTTTTCTACTTTCTTTCAGTAAATATATTCCTTTCTAATGTAACCTAATCTTTCCACTATGATTTTTCTTCTTAACTTAGAGTTATCTTCATCTCATTTTAGACTCCCATAATCCTAAAATTTATCCTTGTCTCTTTATTTCTCTTCTCACAATTCCTTATGTACAATTCTAAATTTAGAATTAAGTCTTAGCAATATTATAGAAAATAACATCAGTTGTAATTCTGTCTTTAGGAAAAGTTCTACCAAGGATATACTTGGTCAGATTTTTGACCATTTATCAAATAGTCATATTTACAAATTTACTTGTGAATGGTAAAATTAAGGGAATAAACTATATAATTTGTAATAGTTTATTCCCTTAAATTTACTATTCACAAGTAGATTTTTATATTAAACTTCAAACTCATTTTGTTTATTGCATCAATTAATTTGTATATGTTTCACTCCAAGTCAAGTATATGGCATTATCTATATCCTACAAAACTCTAGATTTAAAACTTTAAAACACTGATTCCTGTAATCCTTAACTGGGTACTATAGGGCAAAAGTTTTTAAGTGAAGGTACATTAAATAGGCTATCTTACAATATGTGTCTGAAATCCATGACTCCCATGGAATTGAAATTTGGCAAATTTTATATAAAATATAAACATTATCATGTTAAAATATAAACATTATCATAAATCAATCTACAGCAACACAAAATGTCAGATTATTTCCTCTGATATTTGACAGTGCTATACAGTCCAACATTGGATATCATCTAGGCCAGGGATGTCAAACTCAATTTCATGGAGGGCCACATCCAGAGGTGGGATTCAGCCAGTTTGGACTGGTTCAGGTGAATCACACGACTGACTGGCCCTCCTGCCATGGCCCACCCTATCTTGCCCACCTTCGCCTTGGGTCGGAGGATGCGCCAGTCCCTGGCTCTGGCCTTCCCCAGGGCCTCTGCCCACATGCTGCCCATTTGCCCTTCGCCTGAAGTTGGTGTACGTGCCAGTTCCTGCCTTTCTAAAGGGACACCTCCCTCCACCGCCCCACTTATTCCCGCAAGTTTCCACTGCGGTCTCACTCTTTGCTGAATCAGCTTGCTTGCCTCCACCCCATTTCCCCTCCTTCAGAGGCCCCTTACTCACTCTCCCCACTTCTTCCCCCACGACTGCCTCTTTCTTTGTCCTGCGACCTTACCTTCTTCCTGCAACTACTAGTACAGGGGAAGGCAAGCCAGGGCTGAGCCATTGCCGCTCACCTCCCTGCCAACCCGCATCTCACCCCCCCATCCAGATTCTCCACAGTTGCTGGGGCTCGCCTGCCAATGGGCAGGGGAGCAACCAGGGAGCATGAGGCTACACCGCCTGCATCGCCCCTCTGCCAGCCACACCTCCGTCGCCCACCCACCGTCCCGAGCACTTCGGATGAGTGCGGGCTGCTGCTGTGAGAATGGTACGAGCCCCATGATTTGGAAGGTAAGGCTAAGGGCGGGGAAGGAAGATCCGCTCTGGGCTTGCTACGTTCAGCCAAAGGGCTGCCTCGGTTTGGGGGAATGAGACATGATGAGACTTGGCTGCCTTTCAGGCTGCCCAGCTTTGGGACCTCCGAGTGGGAGGCATGAGAGAAAATTTCTCCCCCGAGGGCTGTCTGCTTACCCATTCACTGACCGGGCTGGCCTGCAAGAAGCAGTTTCCTCCAAGTTCAACTTCTGCCTTGACAAATTGTTGTGGTCTGCTGGCGGCCTGTGGAGCTGGCAGCAGATTCAGACAGTGGGGAGGAACATGGGCCAGTCCTGGAGTATGGGGAGGGCTCGGATGAGGGATCTGCGTCCGACACAGAGATGGGGCCAAGGCCATCTGAGAGTTATATGCTGACTCTGGAGCCCCCAGAATCTGACATCAGCAAGGCAGAGGAACAGGGGGAGCCTGTTCCCAGTGTGCACTTGCGCAGAGCTGCCAGGAGGCAAGAACAGTTAAGACAAAAGGGGCAACTTGGGAATAAGGCTTGGAGATGATTGCCCCCCCCCATAAGATATACAGGAGGAGCAAAGGGACATGAGCCTTTGCAGGAAGCAACTTCGTTTGTTCTGGTCGGTTTAAACTTTGAAGCTCCGTGTTGACTTTGTGCTCCATTTGGCCTTGTACAGCTAATTGGCAATTTAATCATTGTTAGCATTTCAAGGAAGATAAAGGTGGGTGCTTGTCCCGAAAGACTGCAGCAGACTTCTGTTGGACTATTCATAAACTGTTTGGGACTCATTACAGTCTGTGAATGCATATAATTCACGGCTATGGAAATAATACAAAAAAGGGTTTTTGGGAACAGCGTGTGATTGTTACTGTTTCAGGAAGCCTTGGTCAGAACACAAATCTCTGGAGAGCAAGAAGAGGCTGCAGGGGAATAGTACTCCCTGGTCCTGCATGAAAGAGGCTGCCCCTTCTCGAAAGTGAATCCCTATTTTCGGTTATGAGTGGTAAGGATGCTAGCTTGTTGGGGCAGCCTTCCCTCATGCTGCTCCCCCACCATCCTCTCCTCTCCAGAGATCTTTCAAGGCAGGGGTTGGACTCAGAGGAAACTGCTTTCTGCAAACTTTCACTGTATCAGCATTGTGGTTGCCCTCAAAGGCCCAGTTGCATGTAGGACTATTGTATCATATTAATTCAGTAGTGTATTAACATAGGCCAAACAGTATTAACATTTCAAAAATGAACAGATATTTCAAATCTGCAAAAACAAATTTAAAACAAAGAAGAAACATAATCAGAGGTGCTTAGATCTGGCCCGTGGGCCCAGCCTGGAAACAGCAAAGGACCAGCCCATGGTACCTCTGCCAGAAAAAATGGAGCTTGGGGGGCATGAAATGTTTCCCTTTTGCATTTGAGCATGCAAGAAGGGACAGGAAAGGAAGAAGGAAAAGAGGAAATACAAAGAAAAAGAAGGAAAGAGAGGAAGGGAGGGAGGGAGGGAGGAAGATTATAATGAGAGTGAGGGAAGGTTTCAGGGAAATCCTGTCTTAGCACTTGGCCACCACAGGTGCCCCCAACATGAATCTTGTGTCACACCTACCCTGGCCATGCCCACCCCCGGTCACACCCACACCCACCCTCCAAAGTAAAACAACCTTCATGCAGCCCTCAATGAAATTGAGTTTGACACCGCTGCGAGTAATCAACTTACAACAGTTGATTTAGTAACTGTTCAACGTTATAACAGCACGGAAAAAAGTGGCTCATGATTGCTTTTCACACAGCCGTTGTTGCATCTCATGGTCACATAATCAAAATTCAGGTGCTTGGCAACTAACTCATAGTTATGATGGTTCCAATGTCCCAGGGTCATGTGATTATCTTCTGACAAGTAAAGTCAATGGGGAAGTCAGAGTGAGTCACTTAACAGTCGTGTTAATAACTTAACTGCAGTGATTCACTTGACAACTGAGTCAAGAAAGGTTGTAAAATGGGCAATATTCACTTAACAGATTTGGGAGTGGGGGCTGAATCATGTTTGTACTGTAAGTCAAGGACTATTAACTTTAACCATTAGCAGGTAGTGATGCATCAGGCATTTATGATGTAAGCTCTAGTTTTCTTATTTACACATAGTTGGAATAAATCAACCTGACATCAGATCTATCCATTACCAATGTAAGACAACTTCATATACAGTGTTTGCTGGAATTCTTTTATATTGGTTTCCTAATTTTTCTACAGCAATTTGATTTATCAAAAGTGTCTAGATTGTTGTACTTATATTTCCATTTTCCCACTCTTCATTTTCCCTGCCTCTTCAGTTAATTGCTTGGCAGACTGAAAAACATTTTAAATACACAGTTGAGTAAAAGTGCCCTTAAATTCTTCTCGAAATTAGCTTCAAAAGTTCTTTCTTAGAACATATTCCCTTTCTCTTGTTTTCTGAACATATAATGTAATGTTTTTGTGAGACTAGCACCATTGTGTGCCGTGGGTATTATTTCTGCTTATAATCTTAAGTTATTCACCCAAGGGTGTATTGATTTTTACTTTTTAGTATGGAATTAAGACAATGCTTGAAACAGATGATGGGATTCTACTTTTGGCAAAAGCAGTGGATCCTAAAGTCCCTACAATGATGATTGACGCTATCAAGCTACTCTCTGCTCTCTGCATTTTGCCTCAGCCTGTGGATATGTATGTGACAATGAGTAGTTTATCTTTTGGTTTAGTTGTATGCTGTAGAAGAATGGGTCAGTTTACTAATTTATACTTTTGGAAAAATATGTTAAAATATGGTTTCTTTATCAATTATGCCTCTTAATAAGCACATAATTGGTGTAATAGATGAGTTCTGAAAATATCCCAAGGGAAAAAAAGTTGAAGCAACATGCTCTTCCTTCTCTTCCTGAAGCCATTAACCATATCCCATGTTACTTAAGGAAGTTTTATACCTATAGCTTTTCAGAGCATAATGAAGGTTATGGCAAGAGGTGAAAAAACAGCAAAGCTAGTTTCACAAATTTACTTCTGTTTATATATCTTAAGACACAATCCAATGCATTTGTTCTTCCTAACTTTTACTTGTTATGATTGAATAGTTAATTCAAGTAAAAAAAATTTGTAACAGCAATTAGATTCCTCTCCATCACTTTTGCACAATTTTGTTCAAAATATTTTGATATATGAACAGAAATAAAATAGGTGTCTGTATTTAGGAAGGGAATATTTTCCCTCTTCAAGAAAATAAAACAGAAAAATGTAATAATGAGAGACAGAAATGATGTGTGTATTACAAGGATTCAAAGAGATTTCACATGTTTTCAGTTAATTATTACCCCCAAAAGGTAATAATTTGTTAATTGAACCTTTCGTAATGAAGAAATTAAAGTTTAATTATTTATTTAAACATTTAATGAAAATATATTTTCATATAGGGAAGTATTCAGTGAGGTACCTCAGGGTTCTGTCTTGGGCCCAGTACTCTTCAACATCTTCATAAATGATCTAGACAAGGGATAGAAAAGGAACTCATCAGATTTGCTGGAAGGAATTGCTAATACTTTGGAAGATAGGCTCAAGATTTAGAAGGATCTTAATACACCTTAGCCCTTAGGTCAATCCAACCATTCACTCCTTTATGAGAAAAGTAAGAAAAACCAAATGCATAGGTATAGAATAGGCAGTATCTGACTCAACAATAGTAACTGTGATAAGGTTCTATGTATCCTATGGACAACCACTTAAATATGAGCTAGTTTTGGCAGGATAGCATCAACATTACAAGAAATTTTAATACTGTTTTATACTAGTAAGATCACATCTAGAATATTGGTACAGTTCTAACCATGATACAAAAAAGATGCTGAGACCATAGAAAGTATGCAGTGAAGACAACAAGATAACAAGAAGTCTGGAGGCTAAACTGTATGAGGAATGGTTGAGGGATCTAGTCTATCAACAAGAAAGATGAGAGGAAACTTGATAGCTGTCTTCCAAGTACTTGAAGGGCTCACTTATTTTCCAAATACCTGAGGACAAAAAGTAATGGCTGGAAGTTGTTAAAGAGAGATCCAATTTAAAAGCAAGGAGAAATTTTCTGACAGTAAGAGCAATGAGTCAGTCAAATAGCTTGCCTCCAGTAGTTGTGGGTGCTCCATCATGAGAGTTTCAAAAATAGACAGGACAACCACTTGACCAGGATGCTGTAAGTTTTCTTGACTTGGGCAGTGGTTTGAACTAAAAGATCTCTGAAGTCCCTATCTTTCTACATTCTAGGACAGGGGTGTCAAACTTGCATCACTACGGCATCAACGTGTGATGTACCGTGACTTTTTCCCCCTTCACTAAACTGGGCATGGGTATGCCCAGTGCATGATACATCCAGCCTGTGGACCTCAAGTTTGACAGTCCTGTTCTAGGAGGTACATCTCCTGCTGAAGGAAGACAATAAAAAATCAATAAAACACTGGTAGCTGTGAGCAAACTTTGAATTTAATAAAGGTGATGACTTAATTATTTGTATCCTTTACAAAAACATCAAATGCCAGATATAATCTGTGAGTATATCCCAGTTATACAATTGAGTCTAAATTTGATACATTCAAATTCAGAAGGATTTCATTGGCATCCTAAATTTTAGTTTGGGATCTTTAAAATTCCACATCAAACTGCTTTTAAAAAAATGCAGACTTGGTATATAAAAGCTGGTTTTTATTTTTTTATTTTTCTTTTTTATTTCTATTTTATGTGATTCCTTTATTTTTTGTTAGGCACGAGCAAGTTTTGGGAGCATTAACTGAACGTGCAGAAATGGATGAAGTAGAACGATTTAAGCCCATTGTGGATGGCCTGAAAAGTGGAACTTCGGTAGCATTAAAGGTAATAGGAGGAACCTGAAAAAAGAATATAACAGTCTATCTACCTTATCTTTCATAATACTCTGATGCCTTTTGTTTTCTCTTTTATTTCACCATTACTGAGTACACTTGATTTCTCTGGATTTTTTATCCTGAAATTCTTTTTGTATATCTTCAGAACCAGCCCAAGGTAGCAATCAGGCAATTTGATTAGAATGAATATAGGGCAGGGGTCGGCAACCTTAAACACTCCAAGAGCCATTTGGACCCGTTTCCCACAGAAAAGAAAACACCGGGAGCCACAAAACCCTTTTGACATCTAAAATAAAGATAACACTGCAATAAAACTTATTGAAATATTAGATTATTTGTGGAAAATATATAGTTTAATATAATCAATTGTTTAATGTATTCAAATTAAGTTACATTGGTATAAAATTTGTATGTAGAGAAAAATAAAGTATTGATTTAAGGAATACATAATCTACTGTTTTAAATGAAAAGAAGTTTTATTGAATGAAAGGGAAATAAAGTATCTAAGTTTTATAAATCAGAACCTATTTTATTCGGCCCTAACATAATTTAGCACTAACAGTTGTGATATTAAGCATTTTATTAAAAAACAACAGCCTCAATTGGTAGTTTTAAAAATTCCTTTCCTGTCATTTTATTAATAGTGAAAAGTGACTGGCCATTTTAAAAGTATTTTGTATTAGATTTGAAGACAGATATTTATGCGGCGTACCTACGGTTTTATTCAGCAGGAAAAGAAACAAACTTTTTCCTTCATAAAAACTGCATGCTGACATCGCTTCGTGTTATTCGTGTTTCTGTATAAATCCTTTGATAGAAATTAACGCACCTGCTGCTGGAGGGCACCACAAGCAAGTACTGCTCAAGACACCCCAGGATTGAATGTACCATACAATAGAAGTTAGTGGAGCTCCTGAACTGTTTTGGAGCATGAGGAAAGTTCAGTTGTAAACGTGATGGGGTTTTTTGGGGGGAGGAAAGTTTCTTTTCGTTGTACAACAAGCCAGGCGGATTATTTTCCAGCATCTTCCCTAGTTCAGCACTAAAGTAAATTTGCAGCTTGGGAGCTTCCCGAAAAGGATTAAAAGATACGTCGCCTAACTCTTATTTTTGACCCCCCCCCCTCCAGTCCAGTTGGCCTTTGCCAAGGGAGTAAACCGGACAGATCAAAATCAATTCTGAATATTCAGTGTGAAAAGTCGGCTGGTTTCAAACACTCCCTCCCCTTCAAATCACTCCTCCCCTTCAAAGCCTCCCACCCCCATGCAGGAGTTAATCATAGATCCAATCTTATGGTAAATGTTTATTTAGAATTTACCCCACCTGATTATTTGACTCATGGAATATCTATATTCTGTGTGTGTGTGTGTGTGCGCACACACACACGTGCACGTGTTTCCAAGGCTCATAGACCCCCATCAGGCCACAGAAGCGAAACCAATTCTGCCTCTTCATGCACATTCACATGCAACCACGAATGTGTGCATTCGGCCCTTTCACCCGCACGCGTGGGATTGGAAGTCTGCACTGCCGGCTTACGGGCATCTCTGCAAGGAAAGGTTGGGCATCGCTTAAGAGTTTCCCCCAACAGAATATAAAGAATCAAATGGACTTTAAAAAAAAACACGTTGAATTTAATAGATAAAGAAGAACTAGCACAAAAAATAAAAAGAGTTAAGCAATTTTTTTTCAAAATGCAAACAAGCCAGGAAGATGGTTGGCTAATAGACGATGATAGGATTCTTTATCACCAAAATGAAGACAAAAAGAAAATAATTCAAAATTATTATGATAAATTATATGATCAAGAGATATTTTTATCAGAAGATAAAATAAAAATATCTAGAAAAAGTGGAATTATCTACAGTACCAGACACAGTTAAAACACCATTAGAAGCTATCAAAAAACAAAAGAATGGTAAAACATCAGGTATAGATGGTCTACCAGCAGAGTTATACAAAACTTTACAAAACTCTTTAAGCAATGTAATGTTGGACATATTTAATGAACTATTGTTGGAAGCGAAAGTACCAAATTCTTGGATGGAAGCATACATTTCTCTCATACTGAAAGAAGACACAGACTTACAGCAGATAAAAAAATTACAAACTGATATCGCTATTGAATGCGTATTATAAAATATTTGCATCAATAATAGCAGAAAGACTAAAGAGATTTTTAAATCATTTTATATATACAGATCAAAATGTCTTTTTACCTAAGAGACAGATTAAAGATAACATGGAAATAACCTTGAACACACTGGAATACTATGAAGCGCACCCAGAGAAGCAAATAGTGTTGATTTTCCTTGATGCACAGAAGGCATTTGATAACGTGAACTGGCAATTTATGTTAACACAACTAAAAGAAATGGACTTTGGGGAGAGATTTATAAAGACGATTAAGGCAATATACTATAAACTAACTGCTAAGGTGGTGGTAAATGGAGACATGACTGAAAAGGTTAATATTAAAAAGGATACAAGACAAGGATGTCCCTTGTTGCCATTGTTATTTGTATTGACACTAGAAGTATTAAATAGAAATATTAGACAAGATAAAAACAGTATCAAAATAAAAAAGGAAGAATTTAAATTATAGGCATTTGCAGATTATTTTGTTTTTATTGTAGAAGATCCACAAGAGATTGGACCTAAGTTAATAAAAAAAGAAGTAGCAGGATTGAAAATAAATAGAGAAAAAACTAAGAACTTAGTGAAAAAATCACAGAAAACAGAAAAAAGAATTAATGGGAAGATTAGATATTCAGATCACTAAAAAAGTTAAGATATTTAGGGGTACAATTAACAAGATGTATAACAATTAAGGAAGATAACTATTGTAAACACACAACAAATTAAACTGGATTTGGGAAAATGGAAAAAATTGCAATTATCATTAATAGGAAGAATAGGTACAATTAAGATGAATGTATTGCCGAGATTATTGTACTTATTCCAAGTAATTCCAATAAAACTGGGGAAAAATATTTTGAGGATCTTAATAAAATAATTGTAAAATGTATTTGGCAGGGGAAAAAGCTAGAATTAACTTTAAAATGCTACAGAATACAAGAACTAGAAGTGGTTTTGGTCTAACTGGGAATTATATTATCAGGATTCGATGTTAACAGATGAAAGAGTGGATTGAGCTGAGAAACGTAAGACTATTGACCTTGGAGGGACATAATCTGGGATGGCATGCCTTATGGTATGGGAAAAGTAAGATACATAGTTACTTTCAAAGACATATAAGAAATGCTTTTTTGTTAGTATGGGAGAAAATTAGAGAACAGTGCTACTTGAAGATATCAGTCTGGCTTTTGACAATAGAAGCACTTATACATCCGAATATGATTGATATGGGAAATATTGTGAGATACAAAGACATTTTGAATGAGAAGGGTGAGCTCAAAACTAAGCAAGAATTGAATGAACAAGGGATCGAAATAGCCTGGTATTCACAACTGTAAATACAGTCGAAATATGAAAAAGATGTAAAAAGTTATATGGTATTTACAGAGAGCTGACAGAATTGGACAAGATCCTAACAGGAACTGATGAAAGCTTGATTAAAAAAACTGTATAACTACTTATTGGGTTTTAAATTGGAAGAAGAGCAAGTGAAGGAGGCAATGATAGCATGGGCTAAAATTTTGGTTATACAATAGAATTAGATAAATGGCAGAAACTTTGGGATAGAAATTATAAATTAACAATGTCAACTGCATATAAAGAAAATTTGTATAAGATGTTTTACAGATGGCATTATGCAGCAGCGTGGTTGGCAAGAATGTTCAGACATATTGTGTATATTTGCAATAATTTAAGAGTAGAGAATTAATACCAATGTAATGATTATGGCTGGAAATGTAATTGTTATTTCACAAAACATTTGTAACCAGACGACACACTGTTTAATGTATGATGGATTGTTTATATTAAAAATAAAAATTAAAAAGAATTTTCCCCGACGGGAAGAGCAGCGGCGGGGGCATGGCCCCATAAAAGAATCGGGTTTGAAAGAGCCACATGCAGCTCCAGAGCCGCAGGTTGCCGGCCCCTGGTAAAGGGTAACAGGAAGATGGTTTGATTAGCTTAACAAACCCTAGAGGAGCATACTAACTATTCATTAATTATAAAGCATTTTGTAAGCATTGTGATTCTAAAATTCTACATTCTGGATTTGGGATAGAAAAGGAGGGAGAAGTCTTTTCAGGTTGCTCTAGGTATATTATTCCAAGGTTACTCAATTCCCTGAATATATTTAAATATAGGGGCAAGAGACACCATGGGCAACAAGTATTAATGGATTATTTTTAAAGATAAGACTTTTGTTCTGGAGTAGATTTAGAATATGAGCTGGGTTGCCTTCAAATCATTGTCTGGTGTTTAATTGAAACATGTCCTTTTCATTTGATTTCTTTCATTGTTTTAATCTATGAGATCTCAGAGTTCCAATTATCAGTGTTGATTCCTTCCTGATTTTTTTCCCAACACTATTTGTACTGCATACCTGAATTTCACTTTTTGGCTGCTTTGTTGTGATAAAATTTGGTAGAAAAAATATTTTGTCTGGCAGTTTTTCATAGTTTTTCTAGCAAATTAGCTAGCTCATGATGAATGGGAGAAAAATTGTTGATCCAACATATATTTTTTCTTTGACTTTCTTAGGTAGCTTGTCTACAGTTAATCAATGCTCTAATCATCCCATCAGATGAGCTTGATTTCAGAGTACACATCCGCAGTGAATTAATGCGCTCTGGACTGCAGCATATTCTCAAGGTTAGAAATATATCTCCTTTTTATTATGATACCTTTGCTATATTGGGAGAGATAATATCTATCATTTTACGACTGCATTTAAACTGTAAATGATTTGATAGGGTTAATTATACTTCAACATTATTTGGGGAGTATAGGTAGTTCTTGATTGATGGCCATAATTAGCACTGGAATCTTGCACATTGAGCGAAGTGGTCATTCAGCAAGACACCCATGAGACTGTCTTGCTCAACAAGTGCATTCCCAGCTCTCACAGTTTTAAGGTGAACAAAGTGAAAGCATTGTGCCTGTCAAAAGAGGGCAGGCAGTTCCCTCGGTGAACAAAAGAGAACTCCTATAGTGGAGTGTGGGAACAGAGCTTTGGGATTCTTACTTTCTTTCTCCAGCACAATGAAGGAATTCCCCTCCCCATCTTGTACAGGAGGAAAGTCTTGTGCTGGAGAAATAGAGCTTCATTTCTGCAGCCCAGGGCAAGATTTCCTTTCCCTTTTGTGGCTTTGTTTCTGCAGCCTGGCAAAGGATTCCCTCCTCCTCACATGCATGAAAGGAAGGAAAAATCTTTTGGCAAGCAGCAGCAGCAGCAGCTTGCAACCTTTCCTGCCAGCTTCCCCATTGTCTTTCTGAACTGGCATGACTAAATGGCTGCTAAACAATTGGCCATAAGTTGAGGGTTACCTGTGTTCTTTATAGCTGGCCATATTTCAAAAGAATAACTGCCTTATTTACAAGGGATTCTCAAAAGGAAGAATGGTACAGAACTAAAATAGTAAGGAATGTGTAGTTATGCAAATTAAGTCATATCGGCGGTTGGAAATGTAATGGATGATTGAATTAAGATGAGAACTCTCCTGTTAGCCCTTTTCATAGAAGCCCTTACATACCTATCCCTTGTATGGAAAGGATGGAACGGTGCTAGGTATCCTCAGCTTCGCATCTTTTTTTATTAATTAAGATGTGTGAAATAGCATCTGTATACAGTTACTGTTTGAAGTTGCAACAAAACTGAAAAATGTTGCTTACAAATTGTCCTCACACTTATGACCATAGCAGTTTCACTATGGTCACATGACTAAAATTTGGTCGCTTGATGACTGGCACATGTTTACAATGGTTGCAGTATCCTGTGGTTATGTGATCACCTTCCCAGATGACTTACAAGAAGTGAAGTCAATTGGGAAAGCTAGGTTGCTTAAAAGCTGTGCAATTTGTTTAAGAACATGGCAAAAATATTGTAAAATCAAAATTCACCTAACAACTGCTTTGCTTAGAAGAGGAAATTCTCGTCCCAATTGCAGTTATAAGTTGGGGACTAACCTGTATATCATTTGTGCCTTTGAGCAATTTGTAACTTCCTATATATAAATAATAGCTTCTCTTATGTCATGGATATTTGGGCAGGGACATTGTCATAAGTTTTATGTTAATCAGCTTGTCTCTTGCCTTAAGTAATTTCAACAAATTATTTATTTTTTATTTATTTATTTTTTGTCAAGCAAGTAAACAGGTAGAAATATAAATATGGTTATGAATACATGAAATGGGTACGAATAAAAAAGAAACAATAGGACAGGGACGGTAGGCACGTTGGTACGCTTATGCACGCCCCCTACAGACCTCTTAGGAAGGGGATGAGGTCAATAGTAGACAGTCTAAGGTTAAAGTTTTTGGGGTTTGGGGAAGAAATCACAAAGTCAAGTCATTGTATTCCAGACATTGACCACTCTGTTGCTGAAGTTGTATTTCCTGCAATCAAGTTAGTTCTTTTATTGGGGGGAGCAGGGAGGGGAGAAAAGAAAGGGAAGAGAGAGAACAAAACAATATTTTACCAAATAATCTGAAATTTTCTTGGAATAAAAGAGGGCCATGATGTCTAGTGGACATCTTCTGAAGTGACAGTGTCCTTCACAGGAACTACATGCTCAAGACAATGAGGAGCTGAAACTACAGCTGCAGGTATTTGAAGAATATGGTGAAGAAGATTCTGCAGAACTCAGAGGCCGCTTGGAAGACATTCGAATAGAAATGGAATATCCTTTTATTTCAAAATATATGACTCATCCAATAACTCAGCATATAAGACAAAGATGATAAGGAATCTGGAGGCTAAATCATACAATGAATGGTTGTGGGAACTAGATATGTCTAGTCTAACAATGAGAAGAATGAGGGTGATGTGATAGCAATCTTCCAGTATTTGAGGGACTTTCAGAGAAGAGGTCAACGTGTTCTCTAAAGCACCTGAGGGTAGGACAAAAAGTAATGGATGGAAGATCATTAAAGAGAGATCCAACCTAGAATTAAGTAGAAATTTCCTAACGGTGAGAACAATTAATCAATGGAAGGTTTAGTCATTGATTTTTAAGAAAAGATTGTACCACCATTTGTCTGTAATATTACAGGGTCTCCTGCTCAAGCAGTGGGTGGACTTAAGACCTCCAACGTCCCTTCCAACCTTATTATATGTTATTATTGCCTCCATATTTTATGTCAGTGCTAACTCCTTGTGACTGCTTGGAATAGTTAGTCCCTGAATTTAACAAGGGTTCTCAAGGGGTGTGTGTGTGTGTGTGTGTGTGTGTGTGTGTGTGTGTGTGTGTGTGTATATACCCTAGAAAATCTTCCCTAAGGAAATATATTTTAAGTTTCCAGTAACAGAAAATGTGGCATAATCCTTGAAAGAATATGTGGAAACTCTAGTTATACTGAAGCAGAGAGAGATAGCTGAGTGATTACAAATCCTGAGTTGTTCATCTCTGAGCTTTTCCTCCCTCAGAGAGTGATAGTTTTGGAGTACTTTATAACTATAATATACCATATGTTTTGGACTATAAGACACATCTCTCACCAAAAAAGTGGGTGGAAATATCTGTGTGTCTTATAGAGTGAATACAGACCTGGTTTTGGACTTCTGAACCCTCTGTGCGTCCTGTTTTTGTCCTCTCTGGCAACCAGAAGCAATCTGCTGGCAAAAAATGTGCCTGCTTTTGGTTTCCGAAGGCCTCCACACACCCCATTTTTTCTCTCCAGCATCCAGAAGCATTCTGCAGGCCAGAAATGAGCCTGCTTTCGGCCTCCAGAAGCCTTCGTGGGTCCCATTTTTGCCCTCCCCAAAAACAGGACCCGCGGAGGCCAAAAATGGGCATGTTTTTGGCCTGCAGAGTGCTTCTGGATGCTGGGAAGGGCAAAAACGGGAACTGCGGAGGCAAAAAACTTTTTTTCTTGTTTTCCTCCTATAAACCTAGATGTGTCTTATGGTACGGTGCATCTTATAGTCCGAAAAATACGGTAACCTTTGGGTAACAACAATTTTAAAGTGCATTTTCTTGCTTTTGTTTTCCTTATCCATTTTGTTTTCATTTTCTGATACACTTTTTAAAATTTTAAATTGAAGACTGCAACTATATTTTATGAATAGTAAGCCAGTGAGAACATTCTATTTGGAGTTTGATGTGTAAATGCTTTAAATTCAACATTCATTGGTAAAAGTTATTTATTAGATTTACATTAATTCCTTTACCACAAATACAGAAATCAGGTGGTAAGCTAAACTAGGTTTCTTTTATGAATTAGTGCTGTGCATCTATTTCTTTTGAATGGCTTTTGAATCCTTAATTTTGTTTACTGATTTCAACGAAATCTTTCAGATTCTCATAAATACAGTAAAGGATTCTAAGGCAGAACAACATTTCCTCTCAATTTTGCAGCACTTTCTGCTAATCCGCAATGATTATGAGGCCAGGTAGAGAAGGAAACTATTTTTTAAATATTGTGAAAATATATTATGTGTGGATGTATATACCATGTTTCCCCAAAACCAAATCCTACCCCGAAAATAAGCCCTAGCATGATTTTTCATGCTGTTTGCATTATAAGCCCTATCCTCAAAATAAGCCCTAGTACAGACTGTCATCAGTGGTGTGTGTGTGGGCATTGCCAGCACAGGTGGCAAGTTGCGTGGGAAAAGCAACTGCAGGCCACACAGTTCAGTCCCTCCAAGCAACAGACAGAGGTGCATGTGTGTGTGTGGAGGCACGCGATCCGTTCCACTGTCTGTCTTTGCTTGGAGAATGTGCAGCAGAACTGGAGGACAAGATTGGATACAGGAGGTCGAGAGCACAGGGGCCGTGGCCCCTCCCATACCCTTTGAACCTGGCTTCCCTCCTTGGAGGGAGATGGAGGCTAGGCTGGGCTGAAGCAGAGAAGAAAGTGGGAGGAGAAGCCACACAGTTAAGGATGAGGCCTCTTAGGAGACACAGTGTACAAATGTAAAAGCCGCTCCTTCCAAGTCAGAAGCAGTGTCTGGACTGGCAGTGTCTGGACTTTGTCCTTTCCCCAGGAGTGTCTTGCCAGTGTCCCCTTGATGGCTCTCCCCCTCTCACCACATAGTTCCCAGGATGGAGAGGGGGCAAGATAGGAGAGGGGAACAAAGGGAAAGAGCACCCAGATTCCCAGCACTTTGTTTTGATTTGCACGCCGTGTCTCCTGTGACACTTTGTGGAGAGGCGTGTGATCCCCTCATTCATAGCTGCTGAATGAAGGGCTAGGCTGGGCTGAAGCAGAAAAGAAAAGAGCAGTGGGAGAAGCTGAGGACAAGAGGCTCTCCTGCCTCTCTGTGAGACCTCTCGGGAGAAATGTAAAAGCCACTCCTTCTAAGTCAGCAGCAGCAACTGAATCAAAATGAAGCGCTGTGAGTCCGGGCACCCTTCCCATTTATTGCCCCCTTTCGGAAAGTTTCATTGCCGCTGGTGTTATTCAAATGACATCCTGACATGTTTTGGAAGGGAGAAGGTGTAGTGCTGAGGTTTGCACGATGGCGGCAACAGACTGCAGGATTTATTTTTATCTCCCTCCAAAACATGCTAGGACAGCACCAGCAGCAGGCAGAGGCAGAGGGTGATTTGATCAAACCTGTATATGTGTGTGTGAGAGAGAAAGAAAGAGAGAGAGGATCCAACCTTGAATACCAGGGCTGGTGGTGGTGTGCTGTCTTTCTGTCACACACACAAAGAGCTTTGATTAGATCACTTTCTCATTCGTGCTCTTTCTTCTCCCTTCCTTCCTTCTTTCCACTACGCAGGTATTGCAGGTCCCTACTTTCTCGCTAGCCACATTGCCCTCACCATTCTGGAAATGGCAGCCCCCTTTTCTGCCTCTTCTCCAACTGGTGTTGTGTTTCTCCTTTGTATGAAAGAATGCTAAGCTCCCAGAAAACTAGGCCACCTGAGGCAAGGAAGGCCTAGCTCCCCTTCTCCTATGGTTCTGCAAAGCCCTTGAGGTTTTGCGTGAAGGAGCAGATCGCTTCTCTCAGGGTTTGCGTCAGCACCCACTTCAGACAGCAAACTCTTGCTCTTTTTCTCCAGGGCCTTTGAAATTCCCCCCACCCTCAGTTTTCTGCCTTAAAATCCGGAGCACACATATTTTCCTCCTGATCAGCTGAGGATACAGTGGCTACTGTATGGTTTAAATATATATACAAAGGAAGAACACAACGCTGGTTGGAGAACTGGCAGAAAAGGAGGCTGCCATTCCAGAACAGAGATGCGGGACAATGCAGGCCGATGAGAGTGGGGATCGGTGATTGCTGTGCCATGGAAGGAAGGAAGGAGGAGAGAGAGTGATCCAACATCTGAGTGTGTGTGTGTGTGTGTGTGTGTGAGAGAGAGAGAGAAAGAGTGAGGGGGAGAGAGAGAGAGAGAAGGCACCTCCGCAGCTCTGGTATAACTCTCCAAGGTTGGATCGGATCTCTCTCTCACACAGAGGTTGGATTGGATCATTCTCATGGTCTCTTACTCTCTCTCACTGCGGCGATGGTGGCGGTGCTTTGGTGCCTGGCCAGCTGGGATGGCTCCACTTCTCGCTCAGCCATTTTCCCTCTTTCTTCTCTCCACTCCTCCTCCTTCCCTTGCTCTCTCCATTGCAGTACAGCGCCCAGGATCCACTTTGACAGTAGCAGGTTTTGAGGGATGGTTTATCCCCATTGTAGCATGGTTGGGGAAAGCGGAAGGCAGTCCCGCCCATCAGACCAGCCTGGCAGGGGTGGGGTGGGAAACAGAGATGAAAGTGTGGTGTTCCAGCCGTGGAAATTTGTTTGAAAGGGACAGCATTTCCTGCAATTCTCGTTAATGGGAGAGGCTGCACATTGTTTCTAAGCACACGCTTCCCACAATCTTCCAGGGTTTAATTACACAAAGGCAATTTGCTCTGGAAGGGAAGTGGGGGAAAAGTTTCTGTCAGGAGAGGTACCTCCCAGCAATTAAAACTTCAACGCCATATAGGTTGCCCTGTTTTGGGGGAGGGATGGGGGGGTTAGGCATTGTGGTTTAGGGTTAGGGGTGGGTGGCGGCGCTGCGGGGGATCTGAGGTAAGGCAGATTGCATGTGTGGCAGCTCCACTCTCTCCCCACCTGCCTCACTTCATCCTCCACTCCCTCCCCACCTTGCCTTGTGACCGCAGTCCTAGCGCGTCACTTGGCCTCCTGGGGTGCTGCACTGATGCCGGAAGAAGTGGGCCAGCAGCCATATGGGCTGCTGCTGTACATGGTTGCTGGTGGTGCCACCACGAGGCAATTATTGGGGCATGGGGCTACAGGGCCCTAAGGTAAGCCAGTGTGCGCGTCAGGTAGCTCCACCTCCCTGCCTCGCATCGGTGGCACTTAAAAGAAATAAGACAATCCCCGAAAATAAGCCCTAGTGCTTATTTAGGGGCCTAAAAGAAAATAAGACGGGGTCTTATTTTAGGGGAAACATGGTACATAACTTTTTGAGTATGAAGCTTTACTTCTGATTATCAGCACTAATTTTTTTTCTGTTCTTGCCTTAGGCCTCAATATTTTAAACTAATTGATGAGTGCATTTCACAGATAGTTCTGTTCAGGAATGGCGCTGACCCAGACTTTAAGCGCAAACACTTTGACTTCAATGTTGAGGCCTTAATAGGTGAGTCTGATGCCACTGAGAGCTATATTTATTTTGCTAATTGTTCAGGAAAAATGTATTTTTCTATTTGCTACTGTTATATGAGCTGACAGAAAGTGAATATATTTGTATCATTTTTGCCCCATTGTAAACAATAAATCACTCAGCTTAAGTATATTTGTTGCAAAGCAGTTTTTTTTTAAGAATAAAGATTGCAGAATATTTCTTACAGTTTGCCTAAAGTACCTACAATCTATTGAAAGCATTGCCACAGTTGTACTTTTAGTTCATGATGAAAACCTCTGTAGCACAGTATTTATTGCTCTTTCAGTTATACTGAGACAAAAGATACTATCTATTTCTGGTCTGTTAAAGATACATGAGTGAAAGACAGATATGCATATATTCAGTTATGTCTTGTAAATCAAGAATGTAACAAAGCAATGCATAATCTAGAAATTGAGTAAAGCTCTACAATAGAGCTGTGCTCCAAGCGATATTTGCCTCCTGAAAGGTTTGAGTGTGGTTTTCAAATATTTCAGTAGTAAATTATAATTTTTGGTTTGGTAATAGCTATAGCATTTATAGCTGTAAATGTACAGTACAGTAGAAACATAGAAATGTGATGCAATTACAGTAGAAATGTGATGCAATTAATGATTAAATAGATGGCCGGAAATTAACTGCATTCACTAAATTTAAATTAAAAATAAATAAAATATAATCCAGTTCAGTTTCCCCCCCAGCTCTATACAACTATACAACCTGAGGACACCACTCAAAGAATGAAGAAGCCTACTCCTCCCCCAAAAGTATGCACCTCTATTATGTATTGCACCTCTATTATGTAAGTTGCTTAGTGCAGAAGGCAATTTTTCTCATAGTATTCTCACTTAGTTTTATTTATTTATTTTTGTAGATAACTTGATTGATCAAACTAAGGTGGCAAAAAGTGAAGCTAAAACCCTGGAATTGGAGAAGAAGGTTACAATCATATTTTTTTCTTTATCTTTCATTCTTCCTTTATTTTACTGGCTTTTTCCTTTCTCAGAACTGTTTAAATGATACAGTACTTTTTGTGTTTTTAAATGTCTTCATTAAAAAAAAAATCCTTAGTTTTTAAACAGTACAATTAAAAGACGAAAGTGGTAGATGCCAGCATTTTGCTTTGACTCATCAGTACCAAACTTACAATAACATTGTTAAAATTGGAATAAATACATATATAGTATCTTGCAAGAATGTTAAATATGTACATAGTAAATATGTGTCAGGTTTCCAAGTGATGAAATCCATTTAAAAAGAAAAGTACAAAGTCCATCTTTCAAAAAGATTTCTTTTATTTAGGAAAACTGGCAAAGTCCATGGTAATTCCGGATCTGACCCAACCCGGAATTACCCCACAATATTAGAAGTTAAAAACAACCCCCAAAAGTCACATTCTCCAATAGAAGTAATTCAACGTTGCTTGATGTCATAAATCCAGGGGCCCAAGCACGGAGAGCTTATTTCCCATGGGAAGGAAGATCACCTAACCAAAACACTCTCTTTATCTCCACTCCTCCCCTCTTAGGAATGTGTCAAGTCCAAAACCTTTCCCCCCATGACTGCCACAGAGAAAGTAAGAAAAAGAATATATACTAAGACAAACTAAAATGGCTACACTTATGTCAATTTCTGGCTTGACGTGTACTTAATTGCTCTTCGGTAAGCTTGATCCCATTACAAATGGAAGCATTAGTATATGGGTTGGGCTCCAAAGTAAAACCAGAGAAGTTTGACCGAGTCCATGTCGAGGTGCAATTTAAGAATCTTTTTGATCAACTATCAGAATTTCATCCTAAAAGTACAAACTATTACAACCGTCTATAAATTAAGTTTGCCGACATCTATGGGTTTTTCATCGCCAATTAATGATAAATGTGCACTCTCGAGAAAACATTTACAAGCATTGCATGAACTAAAATCAAAAGATATAGTCATATCTAAACCGGACAAAGGTTCTGTATTTCTCTATTGTGACAAAGAAGCATACAAACAGAAAATTTCTTGAATTTTGAATCACCTGACGGAGATCCGGGAAATTGATAATCCCGAAAGCATTAGCATGACAGAAGAAAGAATATGTCGACATTTATAGATGATGCTATTGTTGATAATCATTGATGAAAAGACCTACTACAAGTTAAACACTAATGAATCCATGATGCCACAACTCTATGGACTACCAAAAAAGCACAAGCTGGGAATGCTGGCTAGACCCATTTTAGCTATGTTTGGCTCTGTTTACCACCAAGTTGCATGCTGGACCCATGACATCCTGGTGTCTGTAAGAGAAGAAGCTAATCAAAACAACACTAAAGGATTTGTTTGAACTTGCTAAAGAGTTGAATTCCATGAATGTGAAAAATGACATTATGTGCTTGGTGGACGTTCAGTATCTTTTTATGAATGTCCCACTTCATGAAACGGTTTATTATATGTGCAGTTTAGTGGAATCTAACTATATCAATTCCCATACCAGTAGATATCCTTAAACAGACAGTGCTACTTTGCACGGAAAATGTCTCTTTCCATTTTCTTGGTCAGTCTTATCAGTAAATTGGGTTGCAAAATTATTGATGCTTTGTGCATCATCTAAACAGCTGTCACCCCAGTTTGAAGGTTACCATCGAATATGAAGTAGATGAACCTTTTCTGGACATATTAATTATCCAAAGGTCTGATGGTTCTATTAAAAGAACGGTATTCAGGAAGTTGACATGGTCTGGCCAGTATCTGAACTTTTCAAGTTTTACACCAATTAAGTATAAACATGCGCTGGTACGGAAACTGTTTATACGAGCACATTAAATATGCACTGAGGACTGCTTAAAGGAAGAATTAGAATTTCTAACCCAAACCCTTTCTTTAAATGGTTATCCAGCTCATTTCACTGATAGACACAGTAAAGTAAAAGACCAAAAGTCAGCAGTTCCAACCATCAGTAAAAAGAAAATTTTTATTGAGCTGCTGTTTAAGGGGGATCAATTAGCACGCCTGACAATTCGACGCTTAAATAACTTAATTAAAACAACATTTAGTACAGCTGAGGTACATGTACTACATCAAACCCGGAGGCTACCGCTACCATTAAGGAAGCACAACGTATTAGCGCCAAAGCCGATAGGTTGTATTTACCAATTTGTGTGTAATTGTGGAGACAATTACATCAGCAGAACTGATAGGTGTTTGGCTTTCAGAGTGAAGGAGCATTTTGCGAAATGGGTCCAGACAGCTCTGAGTAATCCAACAGCAACAGCAAATCGTGGCTATAAAATGCTTTATTCAGCCATCGTGAGACACATACTAGCTACAGGTCACCAAGTGAATCCAAACACTGTGTTCAAAGTTTTATTGCACCATAGGAACTCTCACGTCCTGCAGTTTGCCAAGGCAGTTTTTATCAATTGACTGAAGCCTCTCTTGCGTGTGCAGAAACAGTATTTGTCAATCTGCGCCTTCTGTGAGCATAAGGTTTCTCATTGACTGGTTCTTAGCTCACATTATTTGTTTAATTAACTTAATTAACACTCTCGCAAGATCCTATATATTTTATTCTGATTTTAACCTTGTTGTAAAATTGGTACTGATAAGTCAATACGAAATGCCTGCATCTACCACTATTCGTCTTTTAATTGTACTGTTTACATTATTAAAGAGGATTAATTGTTTTAAATTCCTTAGTTTTTATTCCATTTGTGATGCTGAGAGCTGTTTATTTCTGTTTAGTTCTTTTTTCTTGATGCCTCTTTACTTTGGTACTCATGGCCTACTATTTATAAGTATGCAATGAGGAAAAGTATAAGTACGCAAGATGAGTATTCCCCTGGCTTTCTCCTAAAAGTTACAAAAATCAGATCTATATTGATACTGGTTTCATGTTCAGAAGTACATTCTTTCTTTAAATTTTGCAGCAATAATAGCAATAACGGTTAGAGCAAGGATCTTCAAACTTGGCAATTTAAGACTTGTGGATTTCAACTCCCAGAATTTCTGAGCTAACATGACTGGAGGAGGAACTCTGGAAGTTGAAGTCCACAAGTCTTAAAACTGTCAAGTTTGAAGACCCCTGGTCTACTGCTTTTTAGATGGGGCGCCATAAAAGTCATTCCCAAAATAGGAAGTGGTATGCCAAAGTTTTCATTGAGCAGCATGCTATCATAAACTTCTCATTGTGGTGCATTTGAAAAGGAAAAAACTGTAAGCTTAAACACATTTCAGAAGTATTTCAGAAACTTATATGTATAATTCATGTATGAATCTTAAATATACGACATCCTGTATATTTTTCAATTGCCAGAGGATTTTTCTTTTTGCTAGCAAACATTTAACAGTATATAGACCAAATCCTACCAAATGTTAGTTGTATATTTAATGCCAGAAAAGATAGATGGCAGCAACAGTTCAGAGGGCCTTCATGAAGCATGTGGATTACTGACTTCTAATTCAGCGGTCCCCAGCCTTTGCAGCTTGGTGGCCCAGCGTGTGTGGGTGGGTGGGGAGATGGTTCCCTGGGAATGTCAGGTGTGCATATATGAGTGTGCACAGCTACAATAGTGTGAGCACAAGCACCTGGCATTGGCACAAATAGAGCTTTGCGCGTGAGCGCCTGCCACTTGCACAAGTACAACTGTGTTTGTGGGGCTGTGGACACAGGCGCAAGCACCCACCGCTCATGTGAGTGGGACTGTGTGCATGACCGCAAGCACCTGCCGCTTGTGCAAGTGGAGCTGCGTTTGCATGTGCACTCGCCTGCCGCTTATGTGGCTGCAGTCCAGGGGTTGCAGACCACTGTCCTAATTGATAGAAGAGACAACATTCACATTGTTTCTCATTGATAAAATGGAAAACTACCATTAAATCTAGACTTTATAGAGCAGGAGTAATTGTTCACACATCATTCTGAATATGTTATCTTGTAAAAAATTGTATAAGGGATCAAGAAGAGATATTAATTTATTAAAGAAATGTAATTTTAGATGTATCAAGTAAAAAGAAAAAATAAATCTTACAGTCAAGAGAGATTTGCAAAAGATTCTGATTCAGTCCTTGTCACTTCAAGTAAAAGGACCTACTTTTTTTTACAAAGACAATTTAAAATTGGCTTATCTTTAAAATGTTCTCCAAAGTAAAATGTAAACACTGGAATATTTTTCTTTACCGCCTTTCTTAAAAGATTCCTGCATATTTCAGAATTTTATAATAATATTTTTGTTATTACATGTAGAACTTCCATTTAATCATTTCACAGTTCATTTTTGACCTGGATTATGACAAACTAATTAACACATACTCTACTGAAAAGTTTTCATATTTAGTAGTATTAAATTTTATCCTTTTGTCATCTAATCAGCACCGCCCATGTTGTACTTCCCAAGAATGAAAATATTATCTTGCTTGAGGTTTAATCAGTATGGAGTATGTTGGCATGATTATTGTGCATAATTCTTTTTTTCAGCTGGAATCTGAGTTAACTGCACGTCATGAATTACAAGTTGAAATGAAGAAGAAAGAAAGTGATTTTGAGGAAAAAATTCAAAATTTACTTCAGGAGAAAGAAACAGTGGCAGCTGAGAAACAGCGTATTACCTCAGAGAAGCAAAACTTACAAATTAATAGCTCTTTGTTGAGTGATGAGGTAATGATCAATGGTATAAATAAAGTTATTATGGTACATTAGAGAAATATGCCATTTTAGTGTTTAAGCCCTAAGTCCCAAGAATTATAAAATGGAAGAAGAAATATTGCTATTTTCTTGGAGAAAAAAATGGGTAATGGGACAGGAGGTGAATTTAAAGGTGTTCTGTAAGATATTGAGATATTAATGGATGCATGTAAATGTTGCCATTCCACACTGTATGACATCCCTTTCATTATGATGTTCAAGAGAGGGAGTCAGGATAGTTGGTGGCATGATGTGAAACATTTGTTTTGTTCTTTGTTAATAAAATGAATTTGATATGAATTCTGGGATTGAAGCAGATCATTTACTTATTTATGGATTTATACCCCACCACATCCAATTGTGTCCTGATAGCTTATAGCAAATATAACGTTGCTAATTGAGAAATATGAGCGTTCTATAATAGAAATAGCACTTAGACTTATATACTACTTTATAGTGCTTTACAGCCCTCTCAAAGCAGTTTACAGAGTCAGCATATTGCCCCCAACAATTTGGGTCCTCATTTTACCCACCTCGGGAGGATGGAAGGCTGAGTCAACCTTGAGCCTGGTGGGATTCGATCTGCCAAATTGCAGTAGGAGTAGCTTGCAGTACTGCACTCTAACCACTGCGCCACCGAGGCTCCTGGGTCCCTGGTGTGGCCCAGTGCATTGCAATTTGTCTGACAGCATCTCCTATAGGGCCAGTCTGACTGTGTGCAAGGCTTTTTTTCTTGCATAAATTCTATTGGCAACAATAATTTGGTCTCCCTATGACCTCCAGAATTATTTTTAGAAAATAAAATGATAGTTGTGCACAACAGCATGCTTTTTCTGGAAATTTGTACATCCTTAAAAAATTGGAAAGTAAGCTGACATGGTAAGAGTTGAAGTAGTAGTAAAAAGCAATATTTCCAATTTCTATTTCCATCATGGCAGCTGTTTTGTGAAAATACCTATAATTTACTCTGAAAATCCTAATTGTATCTTTTAGCACAGAAACATTGAGAGCTCCACCTACTAACCATCTACAACTGGGTTAAGTTGAAATGCTAAATCAGATGTGCAATGTGATACAATCTGATGTAATGCATATATGCAATATGTAAAACAGTGCTATGTAGACCCTTCAAAGCATGCTTTAGGACCATTAATAGAGTACTTTTTGAATCATATAATACCGTGTTTCTCCAACAATACGGCCTCCACCAATAGGAAGGCCCAGCATGTTTTATCAGCATAAAATCAAATTAAACCCCTCCCCCAAATTAAGGCCTATATTAAACATGAGAAATGGGGGGGGAATGGCGGGGGGGGGCTTGCCGTTAGGAAGTACTTTTGTTGCATACCCGGATATGGTGCTGCCTGTGTTGACTTTGGCGTTGGTGGGGCACTTCATATCAGGAGACCTTCCTCCACCGTTGCTTCCCCTTCTCCCAGTGCTGCCGCGGCGTTTAGAGCAATGCTGCAGCGTTTGGCGCAGCCACGCGCAGCCAGCCAGGGCTCCTCCCTGCAACCGGAGCCTGGTGGAGACACTCAGCTTCAGGCGCTCCTGTTGCCGCCTTCCCTTCGCCTTCAAAGGCAAAGCCAATTCTTTTAAAAACAACACCCTACTACCGGTACGACAAAGCCTCCCTTGCCTGAGAGGGCAGCCCAACCCCATGTGGGGAGGCGAATCTCCCGGGGCCGCAGCGCAGGATCGGCCCACCCCGGGAGAAGCACCCAACTGCCATCCCTGCTTGGTGCCGGGCAGAGCGTGAAGAGCTTTGCCTGGGGTGCCCAGCGCAGCTGACAGGTGGGCTCTCCTGCCCGGTGGCGGAGCTCTCACCAAAGCAGCGAGCGTCTCCCTGCCAGGCCCTCTGCTCATCCAGCCAGGGCCACGCCAGAGCCATGCGGGCTGGGCAGAGCCAGGAAAGCGAGCCGCGGGTGCACGCCCGCGGTCAACCCAAGCAACCCGGGCCAACCCAAGCTTGGCTTCCTTCCCAAGTCCCTCCAGTCCGAACACAAAGGGGCCACCAGGAGAGGCCGCCCAAGGCAGTGATAGCGCCCACCCATCCATGGACAGGGAGGCAAGGCAACGGCCTGCACCGCGTCCTCCGAACTGAGCCCCGCCGAGTCAGCGCCTCTGCCCGATGCCTGTACCGCTGCAGCGTTTGGAGCTGCCACTGCATTTGGAGATGCGTGGGGACGGGGACGGGCTGGGCGAGGGGTGGAAAGGACAGGCGGCTTCAGGCTCTCACCGCCGGATCCGCCGGCCAGGGAAGCAGCGCTGCCATCACCTCGCCTCCCTGTCCGTGGACAGGTGGGTGCTATCACTGTCTCGAGCAGCCTCTCCCGGTGGCCCCTTCGGGTTCGCCCTGGAGGGACTTGGGAAGGAAGCCAAGCTCAGGTTGGCCCGGCTCTTGTTGGCAGGCGGGCGCGCACCCGCTGCTTGCTTTTCTGGCTCTGCCCAGCCCACATGGCTCTGGCGTGGCCCTGGCGGGATGAGTGGAGGGTCTGGCGGAGAGGCGCTCGCTGCCTTGGCGAGAGCTCCACTGCCGGGCAGGAGGGCCCACCTGCTAGCTGCGCTGGGCGCCCCAGGCGAAGCTCTTCATGCTCTGCCCGGTGCCAGGCAGGGATGGCTGGGCACTTCTCCCGGGGTGGGCCGATACTCTGCTGCGGCCCCGGGAGATTCGCCTCCCCACATGGGGTTGGGCTACCCTCTCGGGCAGGGGAGGCTTTGTTGTACTGGTAGTAGGGCGTCGTTTTTAAAAGAATTGGCTTTACCTTCAAAGGCAAAGGGAAGGCGGCGAAAGGAGCACCTGAAGCCGAGTGTCGCCGCCGGGTTCAAGTTGCAGGGAGGAGCCCTGGCTGGCCGCACGTGGCTGCGCCAAACGCCACGGCGTTGCTCTAAACACTGTGACAGCACGGGAGAAGGGAAAGCAATGGTGGCGGAAGGTCTCCCGATACAAAGTGCCCCACCAACACCGAGGTCAACATCCAAGCTGTCGCTGCCCGCCCACCCGAGGATGCAAGGGGGGAATTAAGCCACCCCCGAAAAGACGGCCTAGCCGTTTTTTCGGTCGTCAAAAAAAAAAAAAAAGCCCGGCCTTATTTTGTGAGAAACACGGTAGGTTTATCTTTTTCCATTGTGAGCTGTACCCAGCTGTCTCCTCACACTTCGCTTGCACAGCCACTTTTGTTCTTTATTGTGCATGCGTGGTTCAGAAAAGGCAGGATCAGCTTCCAAAGTAGCTTTGTAAGCCTGGGAAAAAGTCCTGCTTTGACCATTCAGAAAGCTGTATTCCAAAAGATCTCTTGTGCAGGAATCACACAGCCCTAAATCAGAATAAGATTACCAATTCAGTGTGATCTGCCTATTCATGTATCTGTTTCATTAAACAAAGTCAGTAAGGTTACACAAAAAGAAATCTCAAAATCCCAAAGGAGTAAAGGAAATATCAACAGGGTAGTGAATGATGGCTTAGAAATGGGCAGTCTGTTTATTTTTGTGGTTTAGAATTATGAATTCTCCAGTCTGACTTGTTCTACTTCTTTCTCTAAAGATTGCTCTACTAACCAAAGAACTTGAAGATCTTAAGAAGAAAATGGAGCATGTCATTTCATCTACGGCTTTCCCATCACAGCTACCATTACCTACTGGGACAGAAAGTCACCAAACCACTTCATCCCTTTATTCACAAACTGTTTCCCCTCCTCCTGCTCTACCTGGGATGCCAGGGCCTCCCTCTCCTCCTCCTCCTCCTCCTCCTCCTCCCCCCCTCCTGCCTGGGATGTCAGGGCCACCTCTTCCTTCCCCTGTGCCTGGGATGCCACCTCCCCCACCCCCTCCCCTACCTCCTCTACCTGGAATGCCTGGGTTGCCCCCTCCGCCACCACCTCTGCCTGGTATGCCAGGGTTGCCCCCTCCCCCACCACCTCTGCCTGGAGTGCCAGGGTTGCCCCCTCCACCACCACCTCTGCCTGGTATGCCAGGGTTGCCCCCTCCACCACCACCTCTGCCTGGTATGCCAGGGTTGCCGCCTCCACCACCACCTCTGCCTGGGATGTCAGGGCCACCCCTTCCACTTCAATTTGGGATACCAATGCCGCCACCTCCTCCCACTCTATCTGGTTTTGGAATGATGGCAAGCCCAACTCTTCCATTTGGATTGCCTCCCAAGAAGGTTTACAAACCAGAAGTTCAACTTAGGAGAACTAACTGGTCCAAGGTGACTTCTTGTAATTGATAATTAGATATATTTTACCCATTGTCAATGTTTCCTTTTCCTTTTTCAAGCTCCTTAGTCTACCAGTGCTTTTTCCTCTTAATTACTCTGTGTTCAAGATTTTGAATGCTGAGGACTAGAAAAGGTTGTTGCAGAACTAATTTTCATTTTGCAGAATTTAGTGAGATATAAAGTTAGATGTATTCTTGATACTTAATAAATGTGTCAATTTATCTCTATGAATAATCTTTTAAAATGGTGAAATATTTCTTTTGATATTTAAGTTACTGCTTTTAAATTTTTAGAAATAATTATAGCAATAATTTAAAAAAGGATAGATTAGAGAATGAAATTATACATAGATATGAATTTTAAACAGCACAATTATTGTGGTCTAAGCTTTCTAAGCTTTTAGATATTTTGTGAATATCTTTATCAGATGTCCTCAATTGGAAAATATAGCTGTACATACCCTAACTGTATATAATTTAGGGACAGAATATTTTAAGGCTTATCTGTTACTGAATGAAACCTTGCAGAAGTATTAAAATCATTAGTTAGAATATGGGGTAATACCATTTTCTCCATTGGCTCTCTGTTTCAAATCTTTTGACAGCCAGCCAGTTTTTGAGATGCATTTCCTTGCATATTTGTCTCTGCTAATCAGAACTATTTTTGGTTTTCTGCTACTTAAAGAGCTGGCATTAAGCATGTAATTACATTCTTCTTTTTTTATTTGTGCCCCAGTTTTTTTATTTGTGCCCCACTTATCTGACCTTTTATGGGTAGAAAGGTGCCGCCTCTTGCATTTCATGAATCCCATAATCCCATAAATGAATCCCATAATCCCATAAATAATGTTAGTCTGGAGATAATATTGCTGAACTACTCCACACTAACACTATTTATTTTCGATTAAATAGTTTCTGTTTCATAAAAGCATAATAAACAAATAAATAAATAAATAAATAACTTGTTTTCTAACAGACATAAAGTCTTTTTGCTTAATATACGTACAGGACAATTAAACTGCAATAGGAATGTGCAGCGGTATTTATATGGATTATGTCATGTTATATATAACCTTTACAGATTACAGTACAGGAATTATCTGAAGACTGTTTCTGGGTGAAAGCTAAGGAGGATCGTTATGAGAACGATGATCTTTTTGCCAAGCTAACACTTTGTTTCTCAACTGCACAGACCAAATGTAAGTAATGCAACAAAAAGCAAGGAATGTGAGATTGGCAGGTATATAATTTAACAAATAAATAAAGTAATAACTTCATTGATGTACACTAAAGACAGAAATGTGTTAAGAATGGTTTATGCTTTTGTGGGAAAAATAAATTGAGCTCACAGCAGGGCCAGGGGCAGCTGAAAATTAGGAAGGTCACACTCGTCCAACAAATTTCCTTAGCCAAAATAGACTTTTAGGAATAGACTGTTGCTTTACACACACTTCTAAATGGTGCCCTCATGTGGCAGCAGGAAGGGACATCAGATCAAACTCAACACAATACTCACCCTATATGGCGCCCTGTTGTCATCTGGTTGCAGCTTGAAGATGGTGAATTTTCTGATGCCAATTTCTGTAGAATCAAAACAGGACCCAAAGCAAAAAATCAAGCTCACTGTAGTGTTTATTAGATTGTACATACTGGAGAGGATCTCCTTTAAAACAATAGTAAGAGACATATACCTGCAGACAAAAAGATGCATTCTTTTATACATGTCAGAATGGAGGGGGAAATGAACATGCCTATATGTTCATGAGTGTTAGTGTAATAGATCTCAGTTTACTTTCTGCCCTTCTGTTATCTACAGAGAACAACAGTCTTAGAAGAAATATTTCCATCTTGATATTCCGTGATTGGATAAAGATTAAAACTTAACCATGGGGCCACTGTGAGCTGCAAGGCCACATTTCTTATGTCTCAGTTTGTTTATTAAACACTCCCATTCCTCTGAAAGCGCATTTTGTAATCAATGAAGTTACCATTCCATATTAACATAAACCCATATCCATAAAATCCCTACAGTATATTTACATTTCTTGGATGTGTAGGTGTTCTTCATATAGATGTGCTTTTTGTCTATTGAGAAGTAAACTTGTCTGTTACTTTCAAATTACATGTTACATCATTTCCATTTGGTTCATCTTCAAAACCTCCTAGATGCACCTGGAAAACACATACATTATTTGCAAAGTAGATTGCCTTACTACGCAACCCTAAATTCAGATTATTTTAAAATGTTAAAATTAATTCAGAGAATATTTGTGTCTCAGGGTTGACCTGTGGGATCTTTGGTGGTCTTTGAGCTTGGTTATTTTCTTGCAGGTGTTTTATTACCCAACTAAGGTAACATCATCAGCATTATTAATACCTAGTCAGGTAATGAAATGTCTGCAAGAAAACAACCAAGCTCAAAGACCACAATTAATTTCAATCATACACACTATATATATTCTCTGTATAATATATATGGTTTCCCAAATTTATCATTGAGTAATATAAATATTTCATATGTATCTATTCATGTCTTATTTTGTTTATAACATCTGTTTTTTCGGTATTAGATATTTATAATATAAGCCAAGTAAACTGTGTGCACAATTATTAGGCGAGTGCCATATCATCATTTTAATGCATATTTTCCACCTCCAAGCTGTATAAACTTGAATGCTTAGTGGATATAAGCATATCTGGTGGTGTATATTTGTGTAATGAGGGAGGGTGTGGCCTAAGGAAATCAATACCCTATATCAAAGTGTGCATAATTATTAGGTTTATCTTTTCTTGAGGTCCATTTCAGCAAGGTAGAGTGGTATGGGCTGGTATTATTAAAGATGAGCTAGTTGATATTTTCGCATTGAAAATGGACCCAAAATCAACTCCCAAACCAGCTGTCAGTGTTTAGAAGACACTTCAAGCAGTGGTACAGGAAAAAGTCTGCCTCTTTCAAGAAGACCATGATTTTTATGCAGGATAATGCTCCATTGCATGTATCGAAGTACTCCACTATGTTGCTAGCCTTAAAGATGACCTTAAAGATGAAATAATAAGGGAGGCCAACTCATAAAACATTTTGTATACATGTTTTATGGTTGACAACAGAAAGAAGAGGGGGAGGGGAGTTTCAAAGAGCAGGAGAAATTTCCCAACAGGGAGAACAATTAACCAGTGTAATGGGTTATCTTCAGAAGTTGTGGGTTAGAGTTGACACAATTGAGATTGTTGCACAAGCTCTTCTTTTTTTATACTTATGTTTTATGTTGTATGCACATACATAAACGACAACTTACATTGCAGCTTTCCAATACTCATTTTGCTATTCTGAAAGAAATGTTTCATAAATCTGACAAAAATATCAGATTCTGCAAATCCCTCTGAGAAACACCTAAGAATATGACAAATAATATTTAAAATGAGAACTTTAAATCATAGAATAAGGAGGGATTTTCAGGTTTGTTGGGTAATTTATTGGATTACTGGTTTGAAAGTAACAAAAGAATAGTCATAAAATCCATGGCCAAATTCCCCAAGGGTTACTCACAATCAAAAAGATATAGAGAAAAATAATTTATTGATCAATCTCCATGCAACCTTGGTCATTAAGTAATTTTTATGCAATTGTTGTTAAGGTCATCCTTAAAAATTCTAGACAAGATTCCAAAAGCAAAGCAAGGACAAAGATCCAAGTTTAGATAGCAAAGGATTTATACACCAAGGCGAGTATCCTGGCAGTCACAAATAAAGGATAACCCATCTCACAAACTACAAATATTACTCTATTTATATCTACTTTATAAAGCAGATATCTTGCAGGCATATAGAACATTAACTCAACCGGTACAAATCTAGTCAAATATAGTTGCAAGGTTGCCCAGGCATTCTGGATTGTTTTGAGGAAAAAAATATTCTTAATGATCTTTTCCTTGACATGCAAGCACTTTGGTGCCTCCCTGTTTCTGATATTTAGCTTGTGGTATTGATTCACAATGGGCTTAGGGCTTTGGATAGGGATTTTTTCCCCATTTATTAGGTTTATGTCCCACCTTTCTTCAAGTGCTCAGAGCAGCTTCCATTATGATCTCTCTTCATTTTATCCTCACAACCACAACTGTGAGTAGAGTAGAGTAGAGTAGAATAGAATAGAATAGAACAGAACAGAACAGAACAGAACAGAACAGAACAGAACAGAAGTCAATCTCATTTCCCTAGAGTGGAAGCTAGCTCAATTGTAGCAGAAGATGTGATGGAACAGTTTGACCTTTGAAGAGTTGATATCAGATAAAGCTGGGTTATTCTAAACCCGTGCAGGAAATTGACTGCCTGGCATCCCTGATAGCCATTTTTCACTATTAATAACTATCTTCCTCTAATAAATTCTGTGAAAAAATGATCTCTTGATAATTTTTGATTAGTTTCTTGAGCAAACTAATGGAAGATAAGTAAATCAATTCCTTTTGGAACCAAAAAGAATATCAATTTAAAATTTATTGGTGCACTAGGGACAAGTCATAGAAAGATATATAAAATCATCTATTTAAAGCATACTAAATGAGATAGCTCTATACAATTGATTAAAATGATTAAATTATGCAAATAGTAAATTATTCAATGGTATGTATTGACAGTGTAGATATCAGTAGCTTTTGGGATCAACCACTAATAGTAAAGGAATCAGCAGTCAAGAAATATACTGCAGATTAGCACTTGACAAGAGGACTGGAGCCATCAAAAAGGCACTAGTGAATGACTTCCATTGACAACCTTTTTCATTCTCAACTGCTCTCTTTGGACTATCAGAAAAATTTCCTAGTATTTCATCTCTAAATTCTTTGTCTTAACCTTTTTAAATTAAACTGAGTCTCCACGTATTTTCATTCTTCTCTTTGAAATACAGAAACAAGGTTGCTGTACTTCATAGCTATTTTCAGATATTCAAATGTTAATTTTACTGCAATTTTTCTTCAAGCTGAACCTAGCCAATACCTTTGCCTATGTTCATATAATTTGGTCCTCAGTTCCTTCTTGCTTTGTATCAAGCTGAGTTTTAATCAATGCTTTACTACCTCAGCAGTATCTGTTCTGTAAAACATGCAAAATATTTGTAAATAATAACTTCTATTCATATAAAACAAACCAGCATATACTAGCTGCTCATAATATCACCATCTGCATATGTTTTCTTAATGTAGTTGTATATTTGTGTTGTTTATATACTAATTTATGTTTGGGAAATTAAGGCCCTAATTTTTCATGTAGAAAATAACTTGAAAGATTATATGAATATGAATATTACAAAAATATGTTCTTTAAGTTTCATATATTCCAAACAAATTCCATAAAACCTAACTAGCTTAATTAAAATTAGAATTCAGACAGTTTAGACCAGAGCATCTCAAACCTTGAGTAAATTATCCAAAATTGGGTGAGAGTGTTTTTTCTTTGGGTAACAACACACAAACCAGTCAAAACAGGGACATTTAAATAAAGATTTTTTGATAAACTGTAAAAAGAACATTCCAATAAGCAGTTTTGGATAATGAGAGAAAAGATTTAGGAAGCACTAGTTTAGACTTAAGTCTGATTTTCTTCAGTTATCTGCTTTTCTGTTTTTTTTATTCTGTTGCTTTCTAAAATCCGCACTTTGCTTTCTAATTATCTCTTCATCCTAGAACCCTCTGAAACTCATTTGCTGATATTTTTCCTGTCTGATCTTTCTTTACACATTGTCTTAGGGTGCCCACTTTTAGTTTTAGTTGCTTATGATTGAACAGTTTTGTTTCTGTTATGATTTAAAATCAGTCACTTGTCCTTTCAACCTCTCCCTTTTATTTTCTCATAAGGAAGAAGTTAATCATTACACATAGTCCTCGATTTGCAATCACAATGGAGCCCAAAATTTATGTTGCTAAGCAAGACATTTGTTAAATGAGTTTTGCCCCATTTTACAATTTTTCTTGTCACATTTGTTAAATGAATCACTGCAGTTGTTAAATTAGTAACATCATTGTTAAGTGAATCTGGTTTCCTCATTGACTTGGCTTGTCAGAAAGAGGATCACATGATCCCGGGGCACTTCAGCCATCATAAATATGAGTCAGTTGCCAAGTGTCTGAATTTTGATCATGTGTCCATGGGGATGTTGCAATGGTTGCAAGTATGAAAAACAGTCATGTCACTTTTTCAGTGCCATTGT